GGTCACAGATGCTGGCGAAACGTTAGGAAACAACACTTCCAGAACACGGCCACACAGCCCGGAAGACCCACACCAGCCATCGTTAAAATGTCTATTGATTTGACTTCACGGTATCCGGTGTCCCTTCCAGCCCTATGATTCCATGATCCATCTGGCCCTTCTTCATTCACAACCATGATGTGGCCACCTGACCTTCTGGAACTAGAGGTTCTCCACCTGCTTTCTAAGTGTAGCCATCCGATCTGTCTCCTTGTTCTTTCTGAGGCAGGAAACGTTACAGTGCCGGCTGGTCCCAGCACGTTAGTTGGGACGGATAGATTGGGACGGATAGGTCCCAGCACGTTAGTTGGGATGGTTAGTTGGGACGGATAGATGCCAGCAAGATTCCTCTTGGAATGTTTGCATCACGTTTAGCCTTCAGATGGAGCGTCCCCCCACTCCTTTGGAAAACATCAGCAGTCCATAATTTTGGGGATCCCCTCTTTGAGTGCCTCTGGGATCATGTTCATGCAACAGACTGGTTCTGGGTTGAAAGAAAATCCACCTTTGTTGCTGGGTCATGGTGTCATCCTGGTCCCCTTGGTGAAGCAGTGTCATCTGGTGGGTCCAGGAAGGGTGACTTCTCTGTTATGGTCCCTGCCTTGTGGAACACCCCAGAGATTTGGATGGCCCCAACCCTGTTGGCCTTCTGGAAGGGGTGAAAACTGGCTTTCTCCCCGGGCACTGGGTCAGGATGTTAGTGGACTCCAACGTGTGCGTGCTCGTTGGCGGCCAGGGAGATTTTTGTATAGGTGTCCTCTAGGTTTTTTTAATGGATTCTGTTTTTATCTCTTGTGCGTGCCCAAGAGTCTACCAATATGGGTGGCTACGTACATTTGTTTAATAAATCAATGAAATTAGCTCCATTTTCCAATGGTGTAGTTAACAGCCTGGATCAGACCAGTGGCTGAAAGTAACTTGAAAAAAATAGTCTCGGTGTTCTTTCTAATGTCATCTTCTTTCATTTCTCCTTTCTTCAGGTGAGGGTTTGGAGATACCTGAAAGGGAAGGAGGTGGTGACACACGAGATCCTCTTGGATGGTGGGAACAAGGTGATGATTGGGGGTTTTGGGGACCCCTTAATCTGCGACAACCAGGTCTCCACAGGGGACACCCGGATTTTCTTTGTTAATCCTGCCCCACACTATATGTGGCCTGCTCACAAGAACGAACTGATGCTGAACTCCAGCCTCATGAGGATTACTTTGCGCAACCTGGAAGAGGTAGAACACTGCGTAGAAGGTAAGTCCTAGGCTCAGAATGTGGGTTGCAATGTTGGCTTGTTTTCATGGTGTTACCCTGCTCTTATTAATCCTGGGAAGGACCCAAGATCACATCAGGCAACCAGGAGTTCCTAGCAGCTAGGCCCAATCCCTGGGCCACCCTTTTGAAAACGTACTACAAATCTCCTGTGTTATAATCATAAGGACTAGAACCTTTAAAAAAAAAAAAAAAAGCTGAGATACTCAGACAGCAGGCAGGATATCTTCCACGGTGTGTTTTTGCTTTCCTCCAATTCATTTCTTTACTTGTCCAATTTACCAGCCCACCCAACTCCAAAAAGACTCTGGTTGGCACGCAACATTACAAACCGTGGGAACGATAAAACAAAGGAAAGAATGATGTACGACCAGAAGGGGAAACATTCAGACTAACTTATTAAAGAAATCCTATAAGGAACTGGCCACCCATCCTAGCCCAAGGTTTGGGGAAACAGCCAGGTTTCCAAAGACTTTTTAAACACCCTCAGGCTCTCTGCGGATCTCTGGATACAGCTCTGGGCTCTTGGGTTGTGGTTCATCGTGACCGACATGGTGTGTGTCCCATTCACAAGAACCGTGTGTGTACTTAAGTGTGTGTGTGTGTGTGTTTAGCTCCAAAACCCAAAGGAAACTCCTTAAGCATTCTAAAACTGGAATGTGTTCAGAGTTACACATTCCAGACTTGATTGCCTTTTGTTTTTCTCTGTATTTACTTCCCAACCTATGATGATTTAAAAAAAAAAACCAACCCACAATATTTATATGTTCTCTGCCATGCCATGCTGTGCATTGGTTGCTTGTTATCCCTTGTTTAGAGAGCTGTTATGGCAGAGAATGCGCTCCATCTGTTTAAAAATCAGCGTGCACTGTTTTCGCTCCTTTGCAACCTTGCAGACGAGGCCCGAATATAGACTCCGCAGTCAGACCTAGGTCCCAACGCCATCTGTTTATCGATAAAATATACGTAATATGCAAACCAGATGGGATCTCCCAGGTGCTGTGGCCCGCGATGCGTTCCTTCCATGTAGCAGGTGAACAAATATTAAAACTTTTGGAATCCTGCTGGAGCAGCAATAAACTTTCCTGCCGGTCTTTTCCTCCTCTGCCTTCCTTTGAGCTGAGCAAAACATGGGAAAAAGCCTTCCATGACCTCAGATTGAAGTGAGTTTTGTAGCTTGGCCTTTGTATTTTCCAACCAAGGGGCCAAATGCAGATTATCTTTGGCAACAGGGAAACAGTGTTTTGGAGACCAGTTGGGGCAGAGGATGAAGCCTCTCTAACAGGTCGGAGAGAATAGGGACGTATTAAGACAATTGTCCCCAGTCCCCAAATGTGGCCCATTTCTGTGGTTTTGATGCCCCTAGGAATAAATCCCATTGAGGTCTGTGGAATTTTCTTTGGGTAAAAGAAAAGTGCCTAGAAGACACCGTTAAGTTTCACTCAATTTCCCCTGGATTCCTAGAAAGCGTTTTGCTTTATTGGATACATTTTTAAAAACGAGTCAATGCCACTGTTTTCTGATTTGTAACCTTGACTTGCTTGGTTTCGTTGATATATCTCTCCTGGAGTGTAGAGTTATCCTGGAGAGCAGTGTAAAAACACAGACGTGCACAAAACCAAACTCTAAAGTGGAATAATAATCAGCTATATTTTAAAGAATGCCTTTTGCAATCGCACCGTTGTTTTGCAACGGTCTAACAAAGGGGAATGAAGGTATTCTCCGAGTAAGTGCTTTCTTTTCATCGGGCTTAATAAAGAGGCACAGGGCTAAATGTCAGTGTAATTTTGTTTATGTTGGGCTGGGTGGGAAGGACGAGCGTATTTCTCCTCGTTTCCTCCCAGGAAAAGAGAGGGAATTTCTACAAAAATGGCAGGAGTATTTAAAGCATGACAGAATCTTGATTTAAGCTGCAAACTTTTATCGTCCTTTAGGCAGGTACCACGAGTGAGAATTTGACTGTTTCACTGGAAAGCTGGTGCTGTGACATGACTAAAAAGTCTAATTTCCTAAGCTGATGTGTAGATGTAGATGTAGAGAGCCATCAGGGCTGGATTCTGGCAAATTGTGGGACTGATTTGGACGATATAAAATATGCACAACCTTCTGCTTCATCATGATAAATCCAGAAATCTTCACTGCACCTTGGACTAGGTTCACAGCTCACACCCCAGTCAGGGCTTGTTTTAACTATAGTCAGCACAAGCTAGACTGGCTTAATTTACACACAGTTCTGGGCCAAAGCTATGATTTTCAATCATAGTTGCTGGCATCGTTGTTAGGCTTGTCAGCTGCTCCAATAATATCTTGATATTATGACTCTCTGCGCTACGCGAACCCACCCAATCTCCTTAGACCCAAACTGGGAAACAAGGTTTGCCGAATTGGGAACGTGTCAGGGTCTTAAGCCAATTTCTGGGCTTGGTTTGAAGTTTTAAACTAAGAATGTTCAAGATCTCGGCTCGCTGCAAAACGAAGAAACTTCCAGATCCTGGCTTGTTGTGAACCAGGAAACCTTAGCTTTCTGTGACTTTCCGATCAAGGCAGGTTGGTTAGTTAAAGACTTCTGAAAATAATTGTGGCCTGCTGAATAGCAGGTGGGGTTCTTGCTACTTACTCTGGCTTATTCAGCTAAAATTTGCTCACCGAAATAAGCTCACTTTGCAAACATATAATGCTGGAAGTATTTGATCTAGGAAAAAGCACGTGGCAGTTTGGTCTGGAGCTGTTTTTCTCTGTATCTCTCCCTTCTGTCTCCCAACCCACCTACTCATGTGAAAGATCTCCTTTCCCAGTTTGACTAACTCCGTACCAGTTTCCCATCAGGGTGGGTGTTTCTGACTGCGACTGTGAAAAATGAACCCGTGCAGGGAGCCAGACTCTTTGCTGTAGAAGGAAGCGGGGATTAGAAAGAAAAGAGGAAAAACACCTTGGCATGGGGGTAGGGGGAAGGAGGTTGGCATTATTCCGAAGAGAAAGCTCTCCTCCATTCATTCATTCCAATCCAATGGACTCAGCTGCATTTTTGCTCATTTAAATCATGTGGACTTT